TCTGGAAGTTGCATGTAAGTGGGACCTTCACTTTTTGATGTGACCAGTGGCCAGCACAGTGTCCAAGGAAGTATACTTCTGAGGGACAGTACCCACTTAGATGAGGACCGAGCAGAGTATGAGGACAGGCTTCTCTTCCAGTGCTCTCTCCACATTCCTTTGAGAGGAGAGTATAAAAGCTTGTTTGAGGCCACGTGTAGACTTAAAAATAATTCGATTCAGCTGCATATTCCAGAGCTGGTGATAACCACAGTCCAGATTTTATCACGATACAGTACATGGTTACTTTCTTGTCTGCCTGTTTTAAATCCACCTGCATGGAAAGATTTGGGGAGATAGGAGCCTTCCACCTCATTCTGCCTTCATGGCTACCTTTAAAATGCCCTGTTGTGGGGCAGGAAAGCACCTGCTCTGGAACCAGCCTGTCTGGGTTTGAACCCCAGTGCTGCTACTTCCCAGCTAGGTGACTTTGGGCAAGTTACTTAACCTCTTTGTCTCAGTTTCCTCATCTATAATATGTGTCTAAACATAGTGCCTAGCTCATAAGATTATCGTTAGGATTAAATGAGTTGATATATAGAAATGTGTAGTAGACTTCCTGGCAAGTAATAAACCCCTTGGGCATTAGTGAGGGCAGTGGTGGTTCAGTGGTAGAGTTCTCACCTTCTGTGCAGGAGACCCAGGTTTGATTCCTGGCCAAGGCACCTCAAACACAGCCACCACCCATCTGTCAGCAGAGGCTTATGTGTTGCTGTGATGCTAAATAGGTTTCAGTGGAGTTTCTAGGCTAAGACAGACTAGGAAGAAAAGCCTGGCAATGTACCTCTGAAAACCAGCCAATGAAAATCCTGATCACAACGCTCCAATCCTGTTGTACATGGGGTCACCATGAGTCGGGGGCTGACTGGACAGCAGCTAACAACAACATGGGCATTAGCTATTAGTATTACCTGGGAATTTTATTTGTTGTGAGCTCGTGTTGTTGTGTACCATTGAGTTGATTCTGACTCATAGTGACTGTCATGGATTGAATTATGTCCTCCCAAAATATGTGTTGTAAATCCTAATCTCTGCCTGTGGTTATAATCCCACTTGTGGATGGGTGGTGTTTGTTATGTTAATGAGGCAGGATTAGCGTATATCTTGAGTCAGTCTCTTTTAAAATATAAAAGAGAATTAAGCAAGCAAGTGAGAGAAGCAGAGATGGGAAGAGAGATGCCAAGCTACATGGAAATCACCCAGGAGCAGAAGCTCAAAGAGACAAGGACCTTCCTCCAAGGCAACAGAGAGAGAAAGCCTTCCCCTAGAGCTGGCACTCTGAATTCAGACTTCTAGCCTCCTAAACTGTGAGAAAATAAATTTCCGATGTTAAAGCCACCCACTTGTGGTATTTCTGGTATAGCAGCACTAAGACAGTGACCCCATGTGACAGAACAGAACTGCCCCATAGGGTTTCCTAGGCTGTAATTTTTACAGGAGCAGATCGCCAGGTCTTTCTCCCACAGAACCACTTGGTGGGTTCAAACTGCTAACCTTTTAGTTAGCAGTCTAGTGCTTCATCATTGAACCATTGCGCCATTGAGTTCGTGCTGGCCCTTATTTTTAGTCTGGGAGAGGGGTAGAGGAGAGACTGAGCCTTGCCAGGTACTATGTATACACAAGACCTTGATTGCTGCTCTCCCCTGCTCATTACTTCATGCCAATCTGCACTAGTGAATATGTAGCATTATGGAGTCTTCCAACAGAAGTCCAGCTTCACTTTCAAGCCAGGGTGATTTTGTTTCCTGGCAGATGTAGGTGTTGGCCTAGGTAGGGCTTGTCTTTCTAGTTTTCTCTGCCCAGTTCTGTCTGTCCTGTAGCCTCACCTCCTGACAACCCCGCCAGCCAGACCTCTTCTTCCCCCACACCTGGTGTTTCTAAACACAGGATGCTTGGAGACAAATATAAAACTATATATAAAAAATGCTGAATCAAATATATTTTTTATTTTGTCTGCCTAACACAATTAATAGCCTCCTTCAAAGAAGAGGTTTTTTCCCCTAAAATTTTCTGTGGCAGTTAGCCACTGGCTATTCTAGTTAAACCAAACTGAATATTGAGAAAAATCTATTTGCTTACAAAACATTTGAGAAATTTGTTCTCCAGCATGTATGCATTTTCCTTATGACACAGATATTATTATTAATTTACTCAGCAAAGCCTTTTTAAAATGGCTGGTGCAAGGATCACCTTCAGCCCTGTCTGATCCAAATGTACAATCTAAACTAATAAAGGGGTGAGTCAATTAGTGATTCATGACTGAGGGATGGGCCCATCCTCGTCCACGGGTGTGTGGAGTAGTGTTCAAGGGTGGCAGAGGGGGAAGCAACTTCCCACTGGAAGAGTTGCCGTCATCCTTGACAATCTGAATGGTGGTTACAGTGATCGTGTTCTGTTTTCAATGAAACAAGATACTTTTTTACATTTGAAGCCCTCCACAAATGTATTGAGAGAGGCCGCTCTTCAGAATTCTCAATGTAGTGAAACCTCTAAATCTCAATTTAAATTTGGAAGGAGGCAGAGATTAGTACCATGTAGATCAATTGTTAGGTACTGAATATCCAGTGTGTGATGAGAACACAATTCTTAGTTCTTTGATGGGCAGGAAAAGTAAATAAATAAGATATAGTTCTTGAACCCAACAAGCTTAGAGTTTGTAGTGAGAAAGTGCACAAAAACCAGCGGTGAGCAATATTAGTGTGTGCGTAAGAGTTTCATTGAGAGGAATTTCAAAGAAGAGAGACATGAGATCGAGAACGGTCAGGAAAGGCTTCAGAGAGAAGTGCAGACTTGAGCCCAGCCTGGACAGTGGTATTCAGATGAGCTGAGATAGAGAAGACTGGCTTTCCTGCTGCAGGAGGTAACCTGAGTGAGCAGAAGCTTGGCATAGAAATGGATGTGGCATGTTCTTGACCCTGATATTCCTGGTCTGGCAAAGAGAGAAGGAGAGAAGAAGCATCTTCTTCACATTTGTTCCATGACTGTGACCCTGTGACCTTGGCTGCTACCTCCATTCCCTCCTAACACTTCCAACGTCTGCCAACCAGCAGATTCTTTGAGGCTCAACACAACTCTTACAGGCACCAAGGGCACCAACCCACGTGTGGCAGGCTGAGGGAATTCCGTGGCAGGATCCTGAACATCTGTGGTTGAATAGTTCTTTCCACAGTCAAGTTAGGGTCCAGGGTCGGAGGTATGAACCCAGCCTCATGGGGTCACCTTACTGATAGACTCCATCGCTCTGCCCTGACTCTTGGCTCCTTTTTTCCTCTTAACAAAGCCCTGTTTTGTGGTTCTGCAGGTTCCCAAAGGTACTGACCAGAACTGGGCTCAAAAACTCTATGACCGACACTCCAGCAGCCAGCACTTCCAGAAACCTCGCATGTCCAACACATCCTTCATTGTAGTCCACTTTGCAGATAAGGTGGGTCGCCTCTTTGTTGGCTTTGGCACTCTGCCAGTTGCACTTTAGGTAGACTCAAGGGCTTCTCGGCTAAGTTGGGACTGTCCCTATTCAATTCATGTGATCTGAGTCTCTTAGATAGGTTCTCCTTCTATCCTTTCTTACCCACTTTGCTCCATCTCTGATTGTCATTACATGGCATGACCCCACAGAGGAGTGTTCTTTTTTCCAACCGTGAGTTTAACAAATACTTATTGAGGGTCTCTCTCCTGGGAATATATTGTTGTTGTTAGTTGCCATCGAGTCGATTCTGACTCAGTAACAACCCCATGTGTAGAGTAGAGCTGCTTCCTAGGGTTTCCTAGGCTCTGACCTTTTGGAAGCAGATCACCACGCCTGTCTTCTGAGGCGCCTCTGGATGGGTTCGAACCACCAACCTTTTGGCTAGTAGTTGAGCGCTCAACCTTTGTGCTACCCGGGGACTCCTACTCCTGGGAATATAGCAGCAAGTAAAACAATTATGATACTACCCTCTTGGAGCTTGAGAGAGAAAAGGAGGGAGTAAAAATGAAGTATGTGCATGGCTTGGGTCATTAATCTGCTTTGAGTGGTTCCTTCCCAATACCTTGTGTATGTATAAAATTTTCTAAATGGATTTCTGTTTGATATGCACTGGCTTGTTGCTTCTTAAAGCGTAATGTGCCTGTAAGTCACCTAGGGTCTTGTTAAGAGGCACATTCCGATTCAGTACATCTTGGGTATGGCTGAGAAGCTGCATTTATAGAGCCCTAAAGAAGCCTTCTATTAAAGGCCATTTTATGGGAACTTCTTTATAAAGCAATATTTTTCCCACAAAATGAATGCTCAGTTCCCGCTGTATAAATCCTGATCACATGTGGAGTTTGCTTAAGTGGAAACATCTGTGGGTTTCCTGTCTACTCACAACTCTAGAAAACACTACATAGCTAAGATGAAACTACTCAAGTACCCGAGAAACTACTGAAGGAAGCTACTCTGGCTAAAGCACTAACTACTGTCTCTCTCTCCCATTGCCGTGGCCGCAGGTGGAGTACCATTCAGATGGTTTTCTGGAGAAAAACAGAGACACAGTCAATGAAGAACAGATCAACATCCTGAAGGCCAGCAAGGTAAAGAACATCAGAAAGTGGGGAAATAGAGCAAGAATGTCCCTGCCAGAGCTGGGTTAGGGGATGGTGGTGTTGGCCACATTCTACAGAAGGGGAAGGCAAAGATGTTGGCCAGGGGTCAGGTAAAGGGGTGTGTGTGTGTGTGTGTTGGTTATTTCTATCTGAAAACATTTAGGAGGGAGGAAAGACCACAGGTAGGAGGGAGACACCTGGGAAAGATACTAGCTAATGAAAGATGAGGGAGAAGGGGGGACAAAAGACGTGACAGTCTGAAGGAGAGACAGGGATGAACGTCAAGATAAAAATGTCATTGGCGTTCATTGAGTCATGTCTCCTCTGTCTCCTGCTGCAAGAGTAAAATTACTTAAAACCCTTCAAATCCTAGTATCAGTGCATTTAATTTCTGTTTAGAAGTCTGTAGAATCTTCCAACAAGCTAAAACTTCAGATAAATGGAACAGAAGTCGGTATTTAAGGGACACTTAAATTTGCTACTTTAGAATGTTCTACTATCTCCAAAATTTTGATATTTCCTTCTCATGAGCATAACAAAAAGATAGCAAGTACTGTGTCCATTCTACAGATCGAGGAAGCAAGGTTCTCCTTCACCTAAGCAAATATATATTAAGTACCTACCATGCGACTCGCTGCCCTAAACACCCGGTGTCACACCAAGATGAGTCAGACAGATTCTACCCTCTACTTGTTACATTTTAAGGGGATGTGAGTGGGCAGATAAGCATACGCACAAGTAGCTGTGAAAGGAGAGGAGGAATGGGGAGCGGGTCATGCAACCAGGGAGAAATATGGACCCTGGAGTTACAAAAGGCAGGTGCAGATGCTATTGCTGGCTTTAGCCTTGCAGAGGAATCCCAGAAAAGAATTTTCCAGGATTTAGGAGGCTTTCTGTCAGGCCACATGATACTGAACTCACTGCAGGGGCCTGATAACACTGTGGAAATGGCAGATTAATTTCTCTTTGTGATAAGCTTTAGATGAATGCATTGGGGTGAGATGATAAAATGGAGAAAATACGCCCAGCAAAACAGACCCAAGGACTTAAAGCTAAGTAAACCCTGTTCAGTCACGTGGCCGTAAGGCAGGGGCTTTAGGGAGGATTTGAATCAGTCCTAGCACGCGTGCTGCCCTGGGCAGACCCCTGCCCATTGTCATCTCCAGGATATCTAGAACATCAGGGAATTAGTCGTCAGTGAGGCAAACTTGCTTTGGGTAAATGTGAATATCATTGTGGAGTTCAACACAAGATTAACTTCTTACTTTCCCAAGTTTCCAGCTCTCTAGTCAATGGTGGCTAATATGAGTTTTTCAATTTTTAGAGCTACTGGGGTTGGGGGAGTAGGAGAGGAGCCATAAGCCACAGCGAAAGAGGAGAAGTAAATGGTTTGAGCACCTGGGAGAGTGTTTCCTCATTATGTAAGCCCATGTTCTTCTTAATGTAGGAGGCCTGGGACCTCCTGCTGGTCTGACAGTGGCCCAGAGTGCACCTGAGATGAGAGATGTTAACAGGAAGGTTCCTTCAGGGACTGGTGCTTCCCAGGTGCACTTGAAGCCGCCACTGCAGTGCTGTCTCTGTTAGTGCAGATCTGTGGCTCTGCCACTCTGAGGCCCAGTGGGTTCAGGGTTTCATGAAAATCCACAAGGAGCTCGATTTTGTTTCCTGGACCTCTGGTGGCAGCCTTCCATCAACAGCTAGAATGAAAAGTAAAGACCAAATCCTGTTATGCCCAAGTCCATACTGCTCCACTCTTAGAGTTTTTGAAAGCTGAACAGCAGATGCCTATATTGATGGTTTATTGGCAAGACTTGCACAACAAACTTCCAAATAGCACATATGCACGAAGACTACCAAGGTTGAGAACTTTGAGCCCTTTATGATCGTTAAAAGCACCTGGCACCCAAGGGCTACCTGGTCTGTTTATATTCATTAGGAGTCTCGATGGGGAGAAAATTTACCTGGAAGATGAGAAAAGAGCCTGAATTAGTAGGGGTGGGGGTGTCTGCTTAGGCACTGTTGTGGCCAGAAAGAAAAAGTCTCTGTAATGCCAGGTGCATGTCAGGAGTCAGGGCCTTTGAGAGGCATTTCAGGGCGTCTGATTCCTCCCTGGGAAATACATGGAGGAGTCCTGTACTGTGCACTGAGCATCAGTCTGATCAGCCTTCTGATCAGGTGCTGGAGGAGCTTCAGGGAGCCACAGCCTTCCCTTCTGCTGTGTTGGGACTTAGTTCCAGCCGGGAGCTAATATACACAGGCATGACCCACCAGAAAATGTTCCTTCAGGCCATGCTGTGGACTGACTTTAATTTCTAGGTCATGAGACCTCCCCTGGGGTCAGTCCCCACCCCCTTAGTCAGAGGGAGCCTATCACTGGATTCATTGAAGTGGCTCCTCAACATCTCCTGGAATGTTAATCAGAGAAGAACCGCAGATGCCCTGCAAGGGCTGGGACACTCTGCTGTCTTGTTAGAAGTTTCTCCTTTCAGGTAGGGGTACAAATGAGGGCTGGGGAAAGAGAGTTGGGTACTTTTCATCAAATACAGAGTTCAGTCCTGCCATTGTATTGATTTTGTCTTAATTTTAGTATCTCTCAGTGATCCCAGAATCTAAAATGGAGCATTGTCCATAAAGCACTCTCACATTCTCTCTTGCTAGATCATGATTTATTAGTAACTGAGCTCCCCCCTACCCCCTTATTTTTATTTAACAACTTCATCGAGTATTTATGTGGTATATAGTGGTAAATAATATGCATAGTTATTACCCTTCATGGAGCTTACAGTCTAGTTAGAAAGATGGACAGTTAAATAAATACGTAAAATTTTGGTAATGCTGTGAAGGTCAAGAAAAGGGTGCTATAGAAAAGAATAATAGGGATGTATTGGGGGTCCCCAAGACCACCCAAAGGTTTAGTGATTTGCTAGGAAGACTCACAGTACTCTTGTACTCATGGCTGTGATTTATCTCACAGTGAAAGGATGCAAAGCAAAATCAGCAAAGGGAAAAATGCATGAGGTAAAGTCTGCAGGGAACCATGCACACACTTCCAAAAGTCCTCTCCCAGTGGAGTCACACAGCATGCTCTTAATTCCCCCAGCAGTAAGTGCGACAGCATGCATGAAGTGTTGTCTATTAGGGAAGCTGCCTTGAGCCTAGGTGTTCGGGGTTTCTATTGGAGGTCAGTCATGTGGGCACCTTCTGCCTAGCACGCACCAAATTTCCAGACTCCCAGTAGGAAAGCAGGTACTCAGCACAAACCATATTGTTTGTACAAACAATTTAAGCACAGTAAACCATTCTTACGAGAGAATGGTGAGAACTCTCCTGAAATCCAAGTTCCCAGACACCAGCCAAGGGCCAACTTTGTAAGAAAGCGTTTTTAAGGATGGCAGTCTCAGGCCTACTGTGTTAACTCTTTTCTGCACAGAGGTATCTGTTTTAGATTGGTGGTGCTGGGTTTTTATTAGAAATGAAGTAAAGGCTCATACAAAATTCAAATAGCGTAGAAATATATAAAATAAAATCAAAGTACTCCTTCCCATTCCTTGACTCCACAAATTTCCGTTTTGCATATATAAGTGTACTGGTATATCTTTTTAAGATTGAAATGTATCATTTATGTGTATTCTCTTAATTTTTCGTTTACCATTATATCTTGGACATCTTACCGCAGGAATACAGATCTACCTCTTTTTTTTTTTTTAAACAACTGCTGGTGTTTTGCTAATTCAAATAATGCTGCAATGAATGTCCTTTACATATATTTTTGTTTATGTGTACAGTTGTATCTGTCAGGTAAATTTTTAGAAGTGGAATTGATGGGTCAAAGACAGTGTACATCAAAAGTTTATAGATGCTGCTAATTTGGAAGGTAAAATAGGTCTGTCATCTACTCTTGAAAGGTAACCTACTCCCTTCTCTTTCCTACATTTCTACCTTTTCGCCTCATCAACTACTGTTCCTAAAGAACAGTGGCCTTGTTGCCAACCGCCTACTCCCAAATCCAAGTAAACCTCCTGAGAAGCTGTGATGGTAAGCCACCAGCACTCAGAGATCAACTAAGAACGGCTTCTAGGCTACCAGACCCAAGCAGAAGGAAGGCTAGGAACTCTCCACCCTGAACCTATTCCAGCCCATTTCAGATGTCCCAGAAGGTAAAAAGCAAAGATTGATACTAGGTCACTATAAACCCACAGATGTGCTGTATACAGACTGCCAGCTACAAATCAGAGTGATTCTAAATGTGCTTTAAATCATTTGGACAGATGGGCATTTCTGGAAGCATCTGTCATTTTAGCATTTTTAAAGCTCATTACTTATGGAGCGTATATTATTTTCTTTTAAGTTTTTAGTTTTCACAGCAATCCAGTAAGGTTTATGTTTCTAACTCCATGTTAAAGATAGAAAAATAAAGACCTAGGAAGATACGAGGTCATATGGCATCGAGTTAATGCCCAATTTGTTATTGGTTTTTATCGCACTGTTGTTGTTAGGTGCTGTCGAGTCTATTTCCAAGTCATAGTGACCCCATGTGACAGAATGGAACTGCCCTATAGGGGTTTCTGGCTGTAATCTTTACAGGAGCAGATTGCCATGTCTTTTCTCCCAAGGAGCAGCTGGGTGGGTTCAAACTGCCAACCTTTCAGTTAGCAGCCAAGCTACCCATTTTGCCACCAGGGATCCTTTTTATCACACCAACTATAGCTTAGAAAAATAATTGAAGTTGTCAAGGATTTCATTTTACTTGGATCCACAATCAATGCCCAGAGAAGCAGTAGTCAGGAATCAGAGGACATACTGTGTTGGGCAAATCTGCTGCAAAAGACCTCTTTAAAGTGTTGAAAAGCAGGGTATGTCACTTTGAGGACTAAGGTGTGCCTGATCCAAGCCATAGTATTTTCAATCACCTCATATGCATGCAAAGCTGGACAATGAATAAGGAAGACCAAAGAAGAGTTGACACATTTGCATTATGGTGTTGGTTAAGAATATTGAGTATACC